CTGTATTACTGAATTTTTGATACAGCCTTGGTTAGCATAAGAGGCTTCTTTCAAAACGTCTTTCTTACCCCAAACCTTTAGTGTTTGACAGACTTGTGTTGCATTTAAGGTATACATTTAATTAGTTAATTCCCTGAGAATGAAACACTTGACTTTGGTGTTGCTAGTGCCTTGCTCAACATTTTAAACTACAGGAATGTTTAAGCTATCCGCAACATGTTTTTAAGAAAGAAATAATAACAGGATTCATCAAATCGTGCAAGTTTAGTTGCATTAGAGCTTTGTTTTATCTGTCCTAACTGACCCAAGTCTGACTGCAATGGTGCCCCCTTAATAAATAGTTGCATGGTTCCCTGGTCTAGAACCTTGCAATGTTCCCAGCAGCAACTGTTTAGTGTAAGCTTAGCCATAAGTTCTTTAAAAAGAAAAAAAGCTTAGAGTCACAGTTCTGTTCCCCTGTCAGATGAGCGCTAATCCTCAGCCTGTAAAGGGATTAAATAGCTTATTATAGAGGAGCACAGGGAAATCTCTGAATGGACCTTGGAAATGGAAGTGAATGACAGCACACATTCGCTGGAATAAACTTATTATGATCACTAACAAATTACCTTTTTTGCAGAATTCATCTAAAGAACTGTGGATGTTTCCTTTGACTAAACATTGAGGAGCACAGGGAAATCTCTGAATGGACCTTGGAAATGGAAGTGAATGACAGCACACATTCGCTGGAATAAACTTATTATGATCACTGACAAATTACCTTTTTAGCAGAATTCATCTAAAGAACTGTGGATGTTTCCTTTGACTAACATTTTATCTTACCTACTGTACTAGATAGACGTATCTTTTAATTCAAGATAATGCTGTTGGATGTAAAAGATACATGAATAGTTAGGTAACACTTCACTTGAGGCCTGTATGTATTATACATTATAAAAGTTTTCTTATTGCATTAATTATGCCTCAAAATGCACCATTGTATGTTCTTATGAATAATTGCAACATCATGGCTACACCTTTAAAGAGTGAAATGCATTAAACCTCATTATAATCAACCAATTTTATGCATAGTAAGAAACCTGCAAGTATTGTAGTATATCTTAACTGTGATTAAAATGAAGTACTTTCATTATACTGTAGATCAAGCTTCAACTTAAAGGAATAGTTCACCCAAAAATGAAAAATTGCGGAAAATGTACTCTCCCTCAGGCCATCCCAGATGTAGGTGAGTTCTGTTTCTTCATTGGAACAGAATTGGAGAAATGTAGCATTACACTCTGTGGTGAATGGGTGCCGTCAGAATGAGAGTCCAAACAGCTGATAAAAGTGATAAAAGTCGTCTTGTCTGAATCAGGAGACAAATATGCACAGATCAAGCACATTTACAAGTGAAAACAATCTAAAATGGTTCTAAACAAATATGTTGCTCTATTTCGATGTGGGATGGACTTTCATGGAGGAAGCGTTATTTTGAATGATTGATTCATTATGGACTCATATTTTGACTCATATTTGTTAAAACGCCTTAATGATGAATTTATTTCTTACAAACACACAGCTTTTCACTTCACAAGACGTTAATTGATGGATTGGACTTGTGGGAATTACTTATGGATTATTGTGATGTTTTTGTCAGCTGTTTGACTCTCATTCTGCCGGCACCCATTCACTACAGATGATTCATTGTTGAGCAAGTGATATAATGTTACAGTTTCTCCAAATCTGTTCAGATGAAGAAGCAAACACATCTACATTTTCAGCATTTTTTATTAATTTATTTTTGATTCAACTATTTCTTTGAGTGTTTCGTACATCTGCAGACATTTAGACTTTGTTGCATCAGTACATGAGTCATGGTGGTTGTGAGAAACTTGGCTTTTCTTCCACCATAAAACCTGGCAGCGTGTGTGGTTGTAAGTTTACTAGGTAGTGTGCAACATCCTGTGAGCCAGCCAAAGCCCTGTGAGTGAAGGAGGTCTGATTGGTAATGGCTTATTTACAGGGTAAAGGTTTTAAAGAATGTGTGGGACTTTACATTGCTGGAGGCATAGTTGCAAACAGGATATTTTGACTTAGCAGACTTGGTGCAAAAAAGTGCTAGTATAACCATATCTGTCCACCTCTGCTCGTTAGAAAGCACTTCAGCCAACAGATTGTCTCATTGCAACCTACATCTGTGCTTCTGTGTTTCCAGCCCCTGAGGAAAAAAGCCTATGACAGAAGAATAGAATGAGCGCTAGAGGAGAAGAATGGAGGAGCCTATATTAAATTCAGAATTCTTTGCAGCCCATCTATTTTTTTCACTTCCTTTTTCAAATTCGGTTCTGACCGCAATACAGAGAGCACTGGAGGGTTCTATTATACTAGTATTGACAGTCTGGGTTCACGACTTAAACTTGGATGACTGCTGTGGATATGTGTGTTTTTGTTCTTCTGGGAAAGAGAGTAAGACCCTGGCCTTTTTCTCTGGTATCACAAAGCCACTGAACATTTGCTACTCAGCTTCTTTTATGTAGACAGCAGACTTTTGTTCTCTCACAAAAATAATACATGAGAGGGCAGAATGCTTTACCGAATATTTCTGTGCAGCATGAGTGAGTGAGAATGTTTAATAATTAAAGATTAGGAATGATTTCATATATACTACATAATGTTTTTGAAAAAGGCTTACTAAGACTGCAGTTGTTTTATTAAAATACAGTAAAAACAGTATGCTGTGAAATATTATTACAAGTTAAACCGTTTTCTATTTTAATATTTTTAAACAGAATTTTCAGTATCCATTACTCGTCTTTATCCTTCAGAAGTAATTCTAATATGCTGATTTGGTTCTCAAGAAACATTTTTCATCGTAATCAATGTTGAAAATAGCTGTGATGCAATATTTTTGTGGAAACAGTGATACATTATTTGTAAATTATATTCATTATTTGATTATTTTTTTATTTAATTTAATTTTTTTAAGGAAATTAAAAGTTTTATTTAGCAAGGACACGTTTCCTCAAAAATAAATAAATAAAAAATAAACAACAAACAAATAAATAGTGCTCAACTTTTGAACATTTTATATTTTGCTAAAATATCAAATGTATATTGTATAAAAACAAATGAGTGTTTAGGATCACAGTTTGTCAGAAATACAGTTCTTCAAGAGATGATACCTCTAGTTTTCCGATGGACTTCACACTTCGCAAACACCTCCTGAATTTCTCATCGTGGTTTGGGTAATTTAAGATCTGTGATCACAGAGGCCATGAAAGACATGTGACTTCGTCCTGATGTCCATGAATTCACTCCTCTTTTCATCTTGCAGTGTAACATCAAGGAATATCATGAAGAAAGAGAGTTTCCATCAAAGTGTGGTTGTACAGTAGGATTAATTATTAATATCAATGGGATGTTATATAACCACGCGGAGCAGTCATTGGAACCACTTCTCTGAATTTTTGTCTTGTAGAACAGGTCTGCAACCATGTGCAGTTTATAAGATTTACAAGTTGTAGGAATTGTAGGTTAAAGATGAAAGATTTTGCTTTCTCAAAATATAAATACTTAAAAATATGGAAGAGTAACACTTTGAGGGATCGCCAGTTTTGTGTTATTCTGCAGATGCATTTCATTTTGTACATTTGTGCTTTTATTTTGAAGTTCGTGCGAAATGTTCTTATTTTGCATACGTTCGCTGATTGTTTCCAGGTAGGTAACTTATTTGTGTTTGTACAACCCTTCGTCTGCTAAGTTTGATATGCCTAGGTTTATTGAGGATTTGACTTGCTTGATCGATTTTTGTGTCATCTTGATCAAATAAGAACGACTTCGTGGGAAGTCGTGGCCTAATGGTTAGAGAGGCGAACTCGTAACCCAAAGGTTGTGGGTTCGAGTCTCGTACCGGCAGGGATTGTAGGTGGGGGGAGTGAATGTACAGCGCTTTCTCCCAACTTCAATACCACGACTGAGGTGCCCTTGAGCAAGGCACTTGAACCCCCAACTGCTCCCCGGGCGCCGCAGCAAAAATGGCTGCCCACTGCTCCGGGTGTGTGTTCACGGTGTGTGTGTGTGTGTGTGTGTGTGTTCACTGCTGTGTGTGTGCACTTTGGATGGGATAAATGCAGAGCACTAATTCCGAGTATGGGTCACCATACTTGGCCACATGTCACGTCACTTTTTCTTTTTTTCTTTAAATGAGCCATTTGTTTAGTTCAGACAATCAGGTACGGTCACACAAACTACAAAATAAAAGCACAGCATTTACAAAACACAACAAACAATCACTAAAGCCATTTATGAGGTACACATGATTGTGCTTGAAGCGTTTTGCGTTTGCTCTGAAGGACAGGGTTTTTTTGTGCGTTCACCAGGTTATTCATCTTAGGGCTGCCCACTGCTCCGGGTGTGTGTTCACACGGTGTGTGTGTGTGTGTGTTCACTGCTGTGTGTGTGCACTTTGGATGGGATAAATGCAGAGCACTAATTCCGAGTATGGGTCACCATACTTGGCCACGCCACGTCACGTCACTTTTTCTTTTTTTCTTTAAATGAGCCAATTGTTTAGTTCAGACAATCAGGTAGGGTCACACAAACTACAAAATAAAAGCACACCATTTACAAAACACAACAAACAATCACTAAAGCCATTTCTGAGGTTTGTGCTTGAAGCGTTTTGCATTTGCTCTGAAGGACAGGGTTTTTTTGTGCATTCACCAGGTTATTCATCTTGAGTTCTTGCTTGCAGTGTGCTAACTGACTATTTAGTCGTTTGTAGCTGCTTCGTGCTATTTTTAAATCGTGCATATTAAAAGCACCTGTCATGAGATCACATTTGCTGTAACTCTTCCATACTGCAAATTGCTTTCGATATGACTCACATATGTAGCTGTCTTCATGACTGTGGCTTAGTTACTTCATAAAGACTTGAATTGTTTTCCATCACATTTTCTGACCCCTCTAGGTATATATTTAGATTGCAACTGTGTATTTAATAGCAGTGTTTGTGTTTGCAGGATAAAAGAATGGGTAGATCAACTGCAGCAGGAGCTGGTTTCTCTAGCAGACATAGCCAGCGCTGGGAATAATCTAAGACAGGTCAGAGGTCCAAAGGCCTTCACACTTTACCACGCACACACACCCCTGTACATATTGATGTATGTGTATTTTAATGTGTATTCACCCCAACAAATCATAAGCGAGAGTTAAGCCTCAATAAAAGCCTGCTTAATTATCAAAACAATCATTACCGGTAAACCATCATCTCGTTACCTCATTACCAGAGTCCCTAATGAGTGTCTTTTTCTCTCTGTTATGGCAGATCTTTATGGATAATCAGAATTATTTCACTGTGAAAACAAATAATGCGGCACAGCTTGTGGAAACAGCGGCAAGGAATATAGAAAATTTTTTGAAGAAGCGAGCCGCAGCTCTAGAGGTAAGACCATCCTGCTTTGTTTGATTTTAGTTGCATAAATATCCAAAGATATAAAGTACACATGTAAATTCATCATAACATACATATTTACAAATGAAACATGCTTTTATTTTTAAATGTTATTATATTTTATATTTTACATATATTTCTTAAATATATACAGGTATGCCTGTGTATTTATAATATATACATAGAACACACAATATATGTGTGTGTGTGTACAATGAAACATGCTTTTATTTTTAAATGTTATTATATTTTATATTTTACATATATTTCTTAAATATATACAGGTATGCCTGTGTATTTATAATATATACATAGAACACACAATATATGTGTGTGTGTGTACAATGAAACATGCTTTTATTTTTAAATGTTATTATATTTAATATTTTACATATATTTCTTAAATATATACAGGTATGCCTGTGTATTTATAATATATACATAGAACACACAATATATGTGTGTGTGTACAATGAAACATACTTTTATTTTTAAATGTTATTATTTTATATTTTACAAATATTTCTTAAATATATACAGGTATGCCTGTGTATTTATAATATATACATAGAACACACAATATATGTGTGTGTGTACAATGAAACATACTTTTATTTTTAAATGTTATTATTTTATATTTTACAAATATTTCTTAAATATATACAGGTATGCCTGTGTATTTATAATATATACATAGTACACACAATATATGTGTGTGTGTGTACTATGAATATGTACATACACAAACTTTTATTTTTGATGCGATTAATAGCGTTTAATCGATTTGACAGCACTAATTTTAAATAATTAAAATGTGTTCTAAATATGCCTGACAAGGCATAAGTTACTGAATGACATTTTTGTGGTTGTCTTCTGTAAATCATGGTGAAAATGTATGAAAGTCATTATTTTATGCTCAGAAAAAGATCAAATTAACCTGGACACATTCTAATGTTTGAAAAAAATTAAAGCTGTATTAAACTTTTATTGTTTTGATGCTTGATTCATATATATATATATATTTTTTTACATGTTCAAACCGTTAGATAGTTTGTCTGTAATTTGTAAACCATGATGTAATCAAGAGCCAGTGGTCGCAGGTGTACATTTAGAAAGCTTGTTGAGTTGCTTGTTTGGAGTTGAACAGATGCCCCATAGACAGCTAAATAAAATTGCATCTACCCTCTTGTGTGCTCTTACTGACCTGCATCTGATCTATGCATCAGTGAGAATGTGTGTCCGCGCACACGCCAGCTGGCATATCCTTTGGAAAGATGGATGGACGGATGCCAGCGGGTTATAATTGTTTTTTAGCCTTTGAAAGATTCTGGGTGTCTGCGCCCGCTGCAGATGTGTCGGGCTTTCCCCGCTTCACTGATGCCCGTCTGCAGACCTGGAGGGGGTTTGGCATGGCTGCTGTGTTTGTCTACCCGTGGCTCCATTAGCATGCAGAGGAAGTCTCAGTAGTGGTCAAGGCTGTCGGGCAATGATTGTATTAGTTTGTGTGAATAATGTTGTTGTCTTTGCAGAGAGGCAGGAGAGGGAGAGGGATGTTTGGACTGGTCCTTCTCAGCCCATTACTCAGGTGTTCTCTCGTCTTTTAGTGACAGACAGACAGGCCTTTGGGAATTTCCTCGCTCTTTCACTCACATCTGTCTCAATAAGACACTCGTGCGCATGTTTTTCATCCCCACATCTCTCGGCCTCCCCAGAACACTTAACATTGACTTAAATGTTTCACTAGAATAGATTTAATCTTTTTTACCTCACAATTTGTCACACTATTGTCTTGTGTATACGGACAGGAAGATTAGAGCGGGCCGATGGAGTGATGGTTTCATTTGAGGTTTTGCAAGACTGGATATTGATTCCTTTTCTTGGAAATGCCACAAGCAGGTCGTTTACTAAGACGCTAATGAGATGTTTTGCTACTGTACTTAAGTTGTTTATGAAGGCTGTTTGTGCAAACAGTATTGATTGCTTTTATTTATATTTTTACTTCTTTTTGTGGTGCTAGTGTGAGTATTAAACTTTGGCATGTAACTCATTCTGTTGTTCGTTCTTCGGAAATGAATGCCGTCTCAAATCAGATGTATGCTCTTGTTTTTCATTAGCATTCAGGTTTGATTAGCATTCAGGTAGTGGACTATCAAATAAAGCAAAAAAATAAAAAATCCTGATAGGAGAGTTTTAATTTAGTATTACTTGTAATATATTTTTATTAATATTTTGAATTAGCTTTTTATTTTTCAGTTTTAATAAGATTTTATTAATTTATGTGCTTTAAAAACGCTATTTTCAGACTTCATTTAGACTTCATTAGCATTCAGGTTTTTACCTAGTGGACTATCAAGTAAGCAAAAAAGAAATACCTGAACAGTGTTATATTAGTATTATTTGGATTATACTTTTATTAATATTTTGAATTAGCTTTTTATTTTTCACTTTTAATTTAAATGTCATTTATTACATTTATGTGCTTAAAAAATACTATTTAGTATACTATATTTCTTTTTTCTTTTTTTTATTGCCAGTTTGTCATTTTAGTGCTTCAACTTAAACTTATATTAGTTAAAAAAAAAACGTATTTCTAATTTTTATTTAGTTTAGTTTAATTTAGGTTTTTATTTAATTTAGTATTTTATATAATATTTGTTTTATTTTATTTTAGTTTTATTTCATTTAACAATTAGTTTTATTAGATAAATAACAGTAATACATATTCCATAGGCTTACATTGAAGGAGGGTTTTGAGTCATCTAAGAAATCTTGTTGCTGTTAATTTTTTTTTCTACTCTGATTTTTTTTTGCAATTAACCTTGAACAACTTGACACTATTTCCTGCTTTCCTAATTTAATTTGAGCCTCAAGTGTGTTATTTTTTTTTAATAATAATTATTATTTAATGTTACATAGACATTTATGATTACTTTCTGAAAATCTCCCATTGACTGTAAAATGTTTGTTATTGGAAATCTGACAGTGATGACTTCATTATATTTTGCATACTGAATTGTGATTAGTCTTTTGCATCCATTTGCATACCGAATCATAATGTGGCTTTTATGCATCTATTTAACCTTCTACTTGCCTTTACACTACAAAGATGGTGTCAGGCTGTGTGCTGATTCTCCTGCACAGCTGACAAGATTCTGAGCTCTGATTCGGCTTTTCATTAACAGAACTAAAGCTTAAAATCTAATCTTGGCTAAAATTTTTACACCATTCTTTCTCTGCTTCACAGCCACTGCTATTTCCTTAAGGAAATGCAAATCTATTTTTTCCCCCTTTTTTCCTGTTTTTTTTTTTTTTCTAGTGATTGATGAACATTTTAATCGCAGGCATATCTTCCCCTAGAGCTGTCGTCAGCTGACTAAATAAAGAACTGCTTTAGCACCTGTCTCTCTGTTTTTCTCAACCACTGCACCATTCTGAAAACATAGACTCAAGCCCTCAGCCTTCTCAGCTCCAACCTCTGTGATCTGCTTTGATAATGCAGATGAAACGCAGCGTGGCTTGGTTTCAAGCTTGAGAACCTGATGTTTGTGTGTCACATGTGGTCTGTAGGCTTTTTCCTCATTATGGTGTGTTTTTAATATTTGCAGGTCAACAGCCACTAGAGCTAGCTATGCAGCACGCAAATAAGCCGCAACCTCTCACATGTGGCGTGTGTGTGTTGTTAGGTTTGTGATGGTTTACCAGTAGGCAGCTTGACCTTTTCCTGGGGTCCGTTCTTCGTACCTCGCTTAATACATCTGAGATGATTTGAAAGATTCCAGATCTTGTAATCGTGATAATTGATCTCTGGCTAATTTGGTTCTTCAAACAAATTTGCGGATTTGAAGCGATTGGCTGGCGGCAAGACAGCAATGTAATGACATCATATAATTTAAAAAAACACCTGGCGAAAAACTTGACACATTTCTGGAAACAGCCAAGCGAACAAAACTACATAAATGTTATAATAGCTAAATGAAATGTGCACTGTTTTTATTTTATTTTAATTTTTTTGACATGATTCCCAATTATTTATATTCATGATTTCTAGTATCTGTACAGGCTTTACATTTTTATTTCAATGTTGTAATTAGCAGTTCATTTAATTTTATCTTTGAAGCAGATTTGTTATGCGACAGCGTTAATTAAAGTTTCTTAAGGGTCAAGATCAAGTTATCTGCATCTCCTGTGCCCCATCAAGCCACTCCCATAATAGCTGTCATCACTCAAATGAACTGTATAGCATGTGTGTAAGACTCCAATACAATTATAAAGTAATTATTTCATCATGAATAAATGTTTCAACGAGTAAACCTGGCTGTGTTTATAGAAGGTATTATAGATGACTACACAACATTATCATATTTTTTTATTCATTTTTAAATTATTATTATTGTAAATTATTGTCCCTTGATCAGTAGGGTACTCTTCTAGTGTCAGGGAGTCATCACAGTCACTCCAGTCACCATCCAGGATAATTACCCGATCACAGTCACCTGAGTTCTGATCACCCGCACCTGCTGTCACCAATCAAGCCACACTACAAATACACACACAGCACAGCCACTCACTGTCCGGTCTACCGTTCACTCCTACGAACTACTCTGGACTCCCTCTGCCCAAAATCTCCTAGAACGAATTACCTGCTGTTCCTCCCACGATCCTCCAACGACTCCGTGGAAACGGCTCCACGATCTCCAACGTAACCGGCTTACGATCCTCTCCATCAGAACTCAGATAAGCACCCTGGAACCATTCACTGTGTTGACATTCACCTGCCTTTAACTCACCTATTCCAGTCATCCACTTACCAAGTCAATAAAACCATCCTGTTTTGCACTTATGTGTTGTGTCTGGCCTTGCTTTGTGACATCTAGTAGGGTACTTGTCATTTTGACATTTGTGAGTGTGTTGATTAGAGTAAGAACCCATGGATGTGTAGATGGCACACGCAAACACACAAGCATAAAAATACAGGGGTCCAAAAGTCTGAG